CCGCCTTCTCCATTTCCCTCTGACCTCAGACTTTTCTGCCCCCACCTCCCTTGGCTGCCCCCTCTAGAGGTCCCAGTGCCAGGTCAGGAGAGCGCCTGAGTGCTGAGTCATGGGCCATCTGGTCAGTCAGGCCGGCACTCCTGTCGCCCGGTGAGGAGGAGGAGCCAAGACCCTGCCCCTTCCTGGGCCGGAGCCCTGGGAGCACATCTTGTGAGGCGTCCTGATGAGCCCTTGGCTCAGCCTCGCCCCAGCACCCTTCCCCTGAGAACAGCCGGCCCTTTGTGTACGTGTCCGACTGGTCTGTGAAGGGGCTGCCCGCCCCCAGAGAGAATGTGCCCTTCACTAGCATTTCTGTGCTTTTTCAGGCTGTTGGTTTGGAATGGCGGCTGAGGAGGGGCTTTCTGTGCAGAGGGTCTCGCTAGAGCAGAGGCCACCGGGCAGGACTCCCCCGTGCGAGAGGTGCATCCTGGAGGGGAGAGCCCCTGGGGGCCTGCCCGAGCACCAGCGACCGCACCCGGGGCAGACATCCCACGCCTGCGAGGCCGGCGGGAGGCGTTTCTGGCTCAACCCGAACTCTTGCCAGCACCAGAAGCGCCATGGAGAGCAGCCACTCGAAAGCGACCTGGAGAGGGCCCCGCTGGTGGCGAGCTGCAGGTTCCGCGTGTCCGAGAGTCCCTTCGCCCTGCGGGAGGCGGAGAAGGATGTCCTGGACATGCTGCGTCTTCTCCAGCATCAGGCCACTCTCAGAGGGACCAAGCCGCACAGCACCTTCGCGTGCTGGGAGACCTCGGATCCCGGGAGAAGCCATTGCGGGCTCGGCGAATACGGGAAGTCATTCGACTACGAGCACAAACTCTTTCAGCACCAGTCGGTTCACACAGGAGAAAGTTACTGCGAGAGTCACACCCGCGACAGCGCTAAGAAACCGTTTAACCAAAGCCCCGTCCTCAGTAACTGCCAGAAGGTTAGCCCAGAAGCAGCGTCTTACGAGTGCAGCGATTGTGGAAAGTCCTTTAGCCAAAGCTACAACCTCCTTCAGCACCAGAAAATCCACAGCGGAGCGAGGCCTTACGTGTGCAGCGTGTGTGGGAAAGCCTTCACCTACAAGTTCAGACTCGCTCAGCACCTGCAGATACACACGAGAGTCAAGCCTTACGTGTGCAGCGAATGTGGGAAGTCTTTCAGCTACAGTTCTTCTCTCATTAAACACCAGAGAATGCACACGGGAGCAAAGCCTTACCAGTGTGGGGAGTGTGGGAATTCCTTTAGCCAAAGCTCCAACCTCATCCAACATCAGAAAATCCACAGTGGGACGAGACCTTATAAGTGCAGCGAATGTGGAAAAACCTTCAGCTACAAATGCAAACTGGCCCAGCACCTGCGCATTCACACTGGCGAGAGGCCTTACGAGTGCCGCGAGTGCGGGAAGGCCTTCTGCCACAGCTCCACGCTCAACCAGCACCAGAGGATTCACACCGGAGCCAGACCTTTTAAGTGTGATGACTGTGAGAAGTCCTTTAGCCAAAAGTCCAACCTCATTCAGCACCGGAGAGTTCACACAGGGGAGCGGCCCTACGAGTGTGGAGAGTGTGGCAAGTCCTTCAGCCAGAGCTCCCACATCATTCAGCACAGAAAACTTCACACCAGATAACGGCTCCTGCGTGCAGCAGCTGTGGGAAACCTCCCGCCAGTGACCTGCTGTAAATGGGCACGACAGCGGCATCGTCCGGGTTTGCTCTCCTCGGGCTGCAAACCGGGGGAAGCTTTCTTGTAAAGATCCAGTCGCATTCACCCCAGGAGCCCACCCAGGGACAGGCCTTCCACCTGCGGGGATCGGAGGCCTGTCGGGGAGCCACTTGCCCGAAGCGGCGCGGTCCGTAAGAGAGCGTCCGCTGTGGGGACCCCACCCCCCACCCCGTCTGGGTTTGTGGGCAGCTTTTAGGAGCCGCACCGCGGTCCACCCCACCGGCTTCCTGGCCTGATGTGTCCTGCCAGTGTTGCGGCAGAAGCCGTCTCGCCCCTCGCCCCTGGCAGGTGCGGTCAGCGTGTCGGGCGCCCTCGCGACGGGGAGGTCGCCGTGTCTGTTGTCCGCCAACCCCAGAGAACACCGAGAAGGCTCCGGGACTTGCAGGTGGGTGCGAGGAGGCTGGTTCCCTCCTCTGAGTGCCTGGGACAGGGTCCTGACGCAGCTCTGGCCCCATCAGTCTGGCTACTGCTGAGTGACTTGGGGAAAATGTTTACCTTCTCCCAGTTCTAACTGGCACTGTCGCCAGAAGCCCCCTGGGGTGACAGTGGGCTGTTGGTCATGATGTACGGTCCGGATGCCGGATTTCTGTGGGCCCCAGGTGACCCTGAGGGGAGGGTGTGGTTGTCGTGACAACCTCTAGTGCTTCCGTGAGAAGTGTCACTCGCTTCCCTCACGTGATGCTGAGCGCCAGTGCGGGGAAGCTGTTCCCCGGGTACCTCCTTCAAAGGAAACATGTGCCTTTGTGTCTGTTTTGACTTGGGCGTTAATGGTTCTAAGACTGCAGGAGCCAGAGTTAGAACACACTGGTGTGGGTGACGTGCTCTGACGACTGCGACGTGACTCCCGAAGAGGCACCCGCGGGTGCCCCGGTGCCTGGCTGTGCGGGACGAGCGAACACTCCGCCCGTTCCCGCCCCGGGTGCCGAGGCCAGAGGCGAGTGTAGCTGGGTGTGCGCAGTCACCCCCGTCAGACGAGCAGAGGCCGAAGGGCGACCCTCTGGTCCAGAGCGGTGTCTGGTGTCTGCCTGCTCCCGCCGGCAGCGCGGGGCGCCCTCCCCAAGGCCTGAGGAGAGACAGCGCGGCCTCGTCCTCGGCTTGCTTGTGAGACGCGGACTCCAGGCGTCCGCGCCACTCTCCAAAGTCACGGTAGGGTGGGCGACAGCGGCCGCTGCGCACGGCAGCCACAGCGCGCTTTGCTCGGCCTCGATCAGCACCGCGAAAGCGTCGAGTCACAGCTGACCATCGTGAGCTGTGCCCTGTCCGAGTCTTGCTCTCAGCTGACCACTGTTGATTCACTGTCACAGTCAGTGTTTTACAGACTTTTATATGATTGGAATTAAAAATGTTTACTTTTCTAAAGCGGTTTCCTGCGTGCTGCCTTCTTTTCGTGGCTGAGTACTGCTCTGCTGTGTCCTGTACCGATTCGCCTGTCACGGACATCTGGCCTGTGTCCGGTCTGCGGCTGCTCTCAATAAAGCTGCACTTGTGTGGAAAACAAAGGAACGCGTGCTGGAGTGTCACGGGCCCTTCCCCAGGGTCCCGCCTACCCCAGACCTCTTCGCCCTTGGATGCGCGGAGGCCACTGTCAAAGGCCTCACGCCGGGTCACGCACAGGAACCTTAAACAGCCCGTGCAGTGCCTCTGTCAGCCACGGTGAGAACTATTTTTAAAAGCGTGTCGACTGCATTCGGCTCCCGAAGTGTGGTGGCGCGTTTGTCCCGTGACACAGGTCTCTGATGTTGGGCCTCGCACAGACACCTGCAGGCGGCGCCCGCCGATCACAGAACGGAGCTGCTTTCTACTCGATAGGAGAGTTGCCTACAGGGGCCTCCCTGGGGTTAAGCCTCAGCTCTACGGCTCTCTGTGCAGCCCCTGCGGCCTGAGTTCGATCCCCGGCCAGGGAGGGACCCACAGGGCGCCGCAGACCTCGCCTGTCTCCCCGCTGCTCCCCTCAGCAGTGGGTGTCAGTGGATCTCCCCACTCTCTCTGGGGAGTCTTCTCACCCCCCCCCCACCTCTGGCCTGCACCCCAGTTCTTGTGTGCGTCCATATGTTTTTAAAAATAATAAAAATTACAAGTATGAACTGTGAACTGCAAAGCATGGCTAACGCTCCTTCAGAGAGCAGTGCACAATTAAAAGCCAGAAACAAAAACTAATTTGTCATAAATAGGCACACCAGGGAAATGTGTGAGTTCTGATACAAGATTTTAAAGCAGGTAAGTTGAAGTCCAGTTTTGACCGTGCAGTCAACCTCAGGGTTGCACCCTCAGATGCTCAGGGTTTTTTAATGTAGTAACGTTTGGGACTAAGAAAACACTCAGGATCATGAACTTTAATTTTAGGGATCTGAGGCCTATCAAGCTTTCAACATCTTTTACGAAAAGCCTGTTTCCCCCAAGCTAACCAATTAACGCTGCCAGTGTGTTCTCTCTGATCTCCGAAGAGGGCGAGTCTAAATTTCCACCCATTTCTCCGTGTCAACAATGGCTTCAGCCACAAAGTTCTGATGAGCAGCACTGTGCGGCCTCAAGTCTTTTGAGTATTTGCATAGATTTTATCTTCCCTGTAAGTCACGTGGGTGTTTAGTCTTGACTGCAGCCTATGGAGGACGCCTGTGACCCAGCTGTTTAAATTGGGGCTCCCCGGAGGGGAGTTCCATCCCTGGGAAATCAGACTTTCTGGACAGGCAAAAAGCTGGGGAGGAACAGGCGGGCGGCCAGTGGCCACCGACTGACAACACCGGGCGAAACGGACACTGGGCCAGGGTCAGGGAGGCACCACAGGTGGGACTTCGTGGGCAGGCCCAGGGGAAAGGCCGTTGTTGGTGGGCAAGACCAGTACCACGGGGACGCGAGCCCTGTCGCCAGCCCACAGGCAGGCTTGGGTGCTGTCTCGTTCTCCAGACTGGGCTCAGCGTGTGGTGCTGGACACGGGCACTGCCCGCCGCTGAGCTCGAGCCCGGGCAGGAACAGCTGCGCCTGAGGGAGGCGACCGCGTTTGTTTGGAAACGGTCGCGCGGACAGTTGCCACAGGTGCGGCGCTTGTTGGGAGTTAACGCAGCCAGGTCTCCACAGGCACAAAACCGCATCTGCAGAATCGGTGAGACCGTCCTGGCGCCGCGGGGTGTGACGCCTTCAAGCTGTGTTCAGGTGGGGCCCCTGCAGGGCAGAGCCTGGCGGCGCCTAAGTCGCGCAACAAACGAGAGCCGTGGGGCTTTTTCATTTTGCTTTTAAGGTCATCAGAAGAGCCCCCACCCCCTGAATTGACATTAAAAAATCAAAACGGGGCCCTCCCTGGTGGCACGACGGGTTAAAGCGCAGCACTGGGAAGCAGTGGGCAGCAGCCCGGAGTGACCCCCAGGCCACAGCAGGCCCCTCCGCAGTCTTAAAGATTAAAAGGCACATGGCCGCCCAGGCAGGCTGGTCTCGGCCGCACCGGACAGGCGGCCGCAG